TGTTGAATCTGACGTGACATGTTCGTACGAACCCTTTGTACGAACAAAAGTAAGAGAAATTTAGGATAAGAAAACAAACATGTTCTTGCATGAGGCCCAATGGTTTCAGACTGGTTGTCCTTATTCAGAGGAACTACGTTTTAATTTAATTTATTTAATTTAATTTTTTATTTTAAATAAAATATAAATTAATGTTTTAACTCTTGTTTTAAAAAATCAAAGTTTGTTTTTATATTTATGAGGTTCTATTCCTAAATAGCTAGGGGAAGTGAAAAGGGAAAAGCCTGGGTACTCAAGAGAATAAAACTGGGGGGAGGGGGGGCAAATTCTCAGGGGGTCATGGCCCCCCCGGTCCCCCCTGCTGGCGCCCCTGGTTCGTTGACGTTTCTCCAGTGAAGTTTATTTGAAGCGTGCTCCCCCTCCCTCCTCTCTCCCTCCTCCCTCCCTCCTCCTCAGCAGCAGGTTCTCCTCCTCAGATATGGAGAGCTGCTAGAACCTCGGCTCCTCCGTCTCCTCCTCCCCGGTGGATGTTGGACCTACCATGAGGTCTCAGCGGGTCCGGGCGGCTCTCTGCCTCCTCCTCACCGCCTCCTGCCAGCTGTGCTCGGCCGCCCGACACGGTAGGCTCGGAGATCCTGCCCGGTTCTGATCCAGCTCCGCACCGTGCGGAAATCACGATTTTGTTGGTTTGAAGCGTGTGGAGCGGTTTTAAGGGCTTCAGAGCCTTTTAAACATTTCTGTTGTGATTTTAATATTTTAGCTGTTACATCAGGAAGTTCTGATGATCTGGGCTGCAGGTTGGTTCTGATCCGTTTCCACTTCCTGCTCCATTTCTCCATCACTGATGCAGCTCCATTGACGCTGTCAATCATTTTTATTTTTGTGTTTTAAAGAGAAGAATAATGACGTCACTGCAGCTGCATCTGCACAGCTGTTCAATCATAAACAGAGATCATTTCTGTGTGAAGCTGAAATTAGCTAAAAACTACGAACTACAAGAAGCAGAAGTTTATAAACTGAATGAATGAAGGAAAAGAAGAGGGTTGCTAAAATAGCAATATGGCTTAATGCTACAGTCAGCAATAAGACAGTGATGAATGTTTTTTTTTAAAGAATATAAATCATGAAGCTGAAGAGAAATGAGTCAGAAACTAAATTTCTGTGGAAGAAAAAAGAGCTTTTTGTTCAACATTCAGGCAGGAGAAATGCTTCTAACCTCAAAGATGAACCAGAGCTGTGTGGACACAGTTACATGAACCAGACTTCACTTGAATCTTAAGGGTCTTTGTTTTCATTTCCTTAGCTGAACGGATGAAAACCAACAGAAAATATGATTTTAGCATCGTGCTCAAACAGATGAAAACATAAAATCCAAGAAAAAAGTTAAATTAGCCAAATATCCTTCATGACTCACAAATCACACTCAGTAATGAAGTGTGCAAATGCATAAAGCCAGTGATAAAACAATCTGTTATACCATGTTTCTGGTGAGTAATGTCCAAAAAGCTGTTTATTTTTCAAATAATGTGATGAAGCGCTTAAAGCGTTTGCTACAGACAGAGGTGAAAATGCTCAGACATACGTCAAACAGTTATGAGTCATAAACCATCCATCCTCTCAGTCTGCTGTCTGGAATAATCACTGACTTCCTGTTTCAGCACCAGCAGATCACCACCTGTTTGTGATCATTAAATGCTTCCTGAGGCTTCTAAATACAAGCAATGAACTAAAACGATCAACATACACTCACCGGCCACTTTATTAGGTACACCTGTCCAACTGCTCGTTAACACTTAATTTCTAATCAGCCAATCACATGGCGGC